AAATGGTCATCATAATGTAATAAATTGATCCTTTTACCATGATTACTCCCTTCAAATATCACATCTCTACCACCACCTCCATATTCATAAACAACAACTTTGTAATTATTTAAATAACTTTGAAATTGTTTTAATTCTGTTACTCCACAGCCGAGTACGGGAATTATGACGTTAGCTTGTTTTACCAATTCTTGGGCTTTTGTTAATTGTTGCTTATTTACATCTCTTCGAATTTTTTGATAGTTTACATCATTTTCTATTTTGGCAATAGCGGTAATTAGAGCACGGGGCAAACATAAGTTATCTTTATTGTTAATACTAATTATTCCAGTTCGTTGCTTACATTCCTCAACAAAATTGTTATATTTCTTGGGCCTTCCTCTACCAACAGGTAGACTGACATGTGTTACTGTCACACAAAAATTGTCCGTATTTAAACCTGTAACAAAAAAAATTATGTAATAAAAAAGATAATACGAAATCAAAATGTGGTAACAACTTACCCTCGGAATTACTTTGAAAAATTTTTGAAATTATATCCCATACGTCTTCAAATTTTAAACTTTCAGCTGGCCTATAAGCAAGCCACGCAGGACCGCGGTGCTGAAAACTTTCTCCACAAAAGGTCAACCCGACCATGTCACTTTTTGTCAGGTTTTGTAATACATATTTAATGATTTTTTCCACGGCTTCCCTTACCTAAGTAATCGGGTCTTCATTGGTGGGTATTGGATTTATTTTAAATATTATTTTTCTCCCACGTACCTTAAAACGCTTGATAATTGTGATATAATCACTTTCAATTGTATAGCGATTCGAATTTAAAAATTTTTGTAAAATAACTTTTTTCGACATTATCTATGTTGTATTTAAAATGACTTTTCCTAGCAAAATGATAGAAATAGAAGTTTTTACTCTTATTATACTGTTTCTTTCATTTCAACGATAAATGTTTTTATTATAAATAATCTTCAACATTGTAACAATTATAAAATACTACCTGTCACAGGCTGTAATCGTATAATTTTGCATACACAAAATAATTCATTAAACATAGGATTTCTATTAAAAATTGAGAATGAAAAGGTTCTATAAAAATGATAGATCTATTAATTTAACTTGTTTCTTTTGCAGGCTTTTTTCATAGTAGGTTTATAAATAGATTACTTTGTACTATCTTGAAAGAAAACAAGTATTCTATATCTACCATTTTGTAAGAATTTTGAATTAATTCACAATTTTACAAAATATGTAATAATTATATCCTGTTAAATGTTGCAATTGATAAAACATTTTATTAAAAATAGGATTTCTATCATAAATAATCTGTGACATTGTAAGAATTATAAAATACTATCTACGTGTCACAGGTTGTAATCGTTTAATTTTGGATACGTTAAAATAATTTATTAAAAATAGGATTTCTATTATAAACAGAGAATGAAGGCAAGTGTAAAAAAAAATGACCATTTGAAAATCTTTTTTTTGTAAGATTTTTTCATAGTAGATTTATAAATAGATTATTTTGAACTATCTTGAAAGAAAACAATTATTCTATATCTACCTTTTTGTAAGAATTTTTAATTAATTTACAATTTTACAAAAATGTGTAATAATTGTATCCTGTTAAATGTTGTATAAATACTGAGAGAATTTCTACCAACATTATCAGTTTTCAAAATGGAACCAACCGAGCTTGATCTTATTTTGCACGAGTTCATTACTCCATACAACGCTGTGGTAACGGACTGTCAGACAGTTGTTCCACCAAAACGAAATGGAAACAGATAAAGTCTACGCCCTAAATGGCGTAGAAAAAAAAAATATCCCAAAAGGGGAAAATTTATTGGGTGTTTATCACCCAATCCTTTTTTATTTTCATGCCGTTAAAATATGTGAATTTATTTTCACAAAAAGAATATTGCCAAATGGCAAATTCAAACAAATTTTTAATTAAAAAAAATAAGCATGGAAATTTAGAACTAAGTTCAAAGTAGTTTTTAGTTTTTATAAGTAACGATTAAGTATAATAAAAAATAAAAATAAAATTTTTATAATAAATAAGAAGTTTTTTGTTATTTAAAAATTTTTCAAATTTTTCAGAATTTCTATTACAGCTCATTTTAGTCTTTTCAGATATAAAATAAAAGGTAACTAGACCTACGTACATATGGATGTTGTATAATAATTATTACAACAAAAATTTTATAGGTACCTACATCTTAATTTTTCTTATCCGTAATTCTTATCTACAGGCGTGTTCTTTTCACTTATATTTAGGTCTTAAGCTATGTTGTACATTATACATAATATATACATATGTGCATATCATATTTTATTTTTGGTTCTTTTCATATAAAAAATAAAAGTAAGTATGTTATATAATATATGCGTATTATTACATAAAGAATTTTTTTTGTTCCACTTAACAGCTTCATAATCAAAACCAGGTAATTACTATTAAAAATACAGTTCTATGTTATATATTCTTCTATTACATAATATTTTTAAACCTCCAGCACTTTTTCTTTTTTCTTTTTATTTAATTTTCTGACCTTAAATAAAAATATTATTCAAATATGTAGGTATATGCATCATAAGATTATTTCTTTTACCTCTTTTAACGCGAAAACAAAACAAGAACAGCAAAACAAAAATAAAACAAAAACAGCAAAACAACAACAAATGCTTTATAAAGGTAACTCTGAATCTTTTCCTATTTATTATTCTTATGCGCAACTCTTATAAGCAAAGTTTTTGTTTTCGTCTCTTCAGATTCTAAAAATAAATATAAGTACGTTATAATAATAATAATATGCGTTTATGTCATTGCACCAAGAATTTTTTATTCTTATGCGTAATTCTTACATGCATGTTCTTTTTTCTTCTTTTTACCTCTAATAATTACATAACCACATATCATCCTTAGAGAAAAATAAATTTAGCTTTCTATTCTTTCCTGATATCCCATTACATAAAATATATTTTCAATCTATATGAGTCGAGCAATACACGACCTCGACAGGTAAACAACATTCAACTCCAGACAACTCCTCAACTCGTAACTTAACTTCTCAGGCCAACTTCCTAAAACTTCTTACTTCCTAAAAACGTATAATTAAACTCGTATCACCTATATACTTCAAAAGGTCAATACCAGTTATATGGGTCATGACACACTTAAAGAGGTCACACGTATATAGGTTATGATCTTTTCCCATCCCAGAGTGCAAGAATACCTACTCATATCAATTACTTGATTACAAGGGCAATCCTATATCTGGAAGTTTTTAAAAGCAAGAACTAACCCCTGTTAAAAATCCCAATGCTTATTTGGTAGAAAAAGTGCTGAAAAAGCAAGGAAATAAAATTTTTGTTAAATGGCTAGGATTTGATAAAAGCCATAACTCATGGATTTAAAAGCAAGATATTTTACGAAAATTTTAGTAATGATGTTGATCTAAAATTGAACAAAGCCTGAAAATACCTGAAAATTGAATACCTGAAAATACAATATTTTTATCTGAAAGTAAATTTTATAAATAAAAAAATTTATAATTTTGATTTTTTTTTTTGTTTTTTATTTTATTTATTTACGATTTACGAATTTAAAAAAGTAGTTTTATTATTTAAAAATCTTTAAATTCGAGAGTTCCTCCTTCATTTTTTTGGATGAATATGTCTTCACCGTCCTGTAAAAGGGAGGTTAAATCCTCCTCAAAACATAGTTTTAAAAGCCTTTCTGGCACAAATATATTTGTATCTGTCTCAAAAATCCATTTATACCCATTCCTTGTGAAAAATTCCTTAAATTTCAAAATTTTTATTGGGCATTTATTAAAATTTTTTAAAAGGTGTGTATTCTATATTTTTGGCGCTCCTTGCCAAAAGACGACCTTTTCTTCGTTTTCTTGCTTCCAATATTTCGTCGTGGTATTGCTGCTCATGTTGTAGCTGTTGATGATGCTGCTGCTGCTGTTCTTGCGGTTGATGGTTTAGTGGTTGATGCTGTGGTTCTTGATGCTACTGCTGTTCTTGCGGTTGTTGTTTCAGTAGTTGATGCTGTAGTTGTTGAAGCTGCTGCTGATGCCCATGCTCTTGTGTTTGGTGAAAAACCCCTTCTTTTCTTTCTAGGGGGAAGAGGGCAAACCTCCTCGTTGCTAATAACAATCGGTGTTAGAAATTGACTTATGAATTCGTTTTCCATTTTTTAACTGATAATTTCCTTAAAAATGTCTTCATATTTATACAAAATTTTAACTGAGATTTTTATATGCCACTTATAGTTTTATCTACTTGAAAATAAATTATTTTAAAAATTCTTTAATTGAAGTTTTTATGTCTATTCATTAATTATCTTTAGTTTAATTACAAAACGATGTAGTTACAAATAAATAACAATTTTCTAATCCTTTATACTTTTCTTTATTTATTATATTCAATAACATTGTAAATATAAAACTACTATAGTAATAATAACAACAATTTTTTAAATTTTTGCATAAGAACGTTAATAGACCTTAAAATCTAATCCTAATACCTAAATATTTTAAAAAATCAAAGTCATTTTTTAAAGTATTAAAATAGTTTGTTTACATTTCAGAGGTATTTATTATAATCAACAATGCTGCAAACATGAAATTCTTTAATTAATAATAATAACAATAATTTTTAGAACTTACAATCACTTAAGTTACCTAACGCGAAATCACTGAACTTACAAAACATCAAAAAAGAAAATTGTTAAACAAAAAGAAAAAAGAACTAACAACTATGCTCGTTAAAGGTTATAAAAGAATCAAAACAACATCGTGGCAAAACATGTGCAATTAATCTGCGCATAAGAACCTTAATATTCCTTTAAAATTATTTTAAAGAACAATTAATTATAAATATTTAACAATTTTGTAAAAGTCAAAGTCATTTAATTAAACGTTAAAAATAGACTATAACTAAGCAAAAAATTTTTAATATTTATTAGGATCAACATTATTGCAAACATGGAATGTTGTGGTAGTAATTTATATTTGATAAGTAACAATTTGCTTGATTAAAAATCTGCCTGTTATTTCAAATTCGTCTTGGTGTACATCTTTCTGAGTGGAATTCATACTGTCACTTAAAAATTTGTTGGCAATTTCGAAAAAAATTTCTTTGGTTTTTTCCGTTTTAGAATTTCGTTTTCGTGAATACGTTGCATTAAGAGAGGATGTAGATGAATTTTCGTCAGTGCAACTTGTCGGTGTTGAAGTCCCAAGCTACAAATAAAAAAATATTTTAAAAAAATATACACTTTTATAATACATATGAAAAAGTTTTAATTTTTTTATTCTGCATTAGTTTCCAGAAAATGAAGCTGAATGGGCAACTATTGCAAAAGACTTTTCACAACTATGGCAATTTAAAAATTGTGTGGGAGCAATGGATGGCAAGCACATTCACATCAAGAAACCACCCGGAACAGGATCATAATTTTGACGCTATGAGGACCTTTGTAATTTTTTATAATTACAAAGGTCCTCATAGCGTTGTTTTATTTGCTGTGGTAAACGCAAAGTGCGAATTCATATATATAAATACAGGAACTAATGGGAGAGTATCTGATGGTGGTATATTAAAGCGGACAAATTTTTATTATAAATTGCAAACTAAATCTTTAACTTTGCCACCTCCAGTTGAATTAGAACCAAATAAACCCAAAGTTCCCTTTGTATTTATTGGAGATGATGCATTTGGCCTTGAAGAAAATCTTATGAAGCCATACAAATTTAGCAAAACCTCAAGAGAAGAAAGAATTTTCAATTACAGACTTTCGCGAGCGAGACGCGTTGTTGAAAATGCTTTTGGCATATTGGCATCACGTTTCAGAGTCTTGCTTACGACCATAAATTTAAACGTAGAAAATGTCGATGCAGTTGTACTTGCTTGTTGTGCTCTGCACAATTTTTTAAAAAAAGAAAATTCAGAATATGCCCCAGCACGATATATAGATCATGAAGATACAGAATCTGGCACTTTAATAAAAGGAGAATGGCGCAACAGCGGTGCATTATTAAATATTCAACAAGCTTCTCCACAAAATTTTCCTGTTGAAGCCCGAAACATCAGGGAAACCTTCAAAGAACTTTTTAATGGCTCCGGAAAACTTTCTTTTCAAGAAAGAATGATTTCTAATGATCAAAAGTTTTAAATTCTATACATATGTATGTATTATGATTACACTAATATGTTATGAGTACCTACTACAAATTAAATACAGATTTTTTTTGTACACTTACATGTACATACATATAATTTTGTTTCCTTTTTCTTTAGCAATAAGAACAAAAATTTTATTTCGCACAAATAAAAGGTACTATAACTATATTATAATTTATGTAGCTACTACAATACTTACCATATTCTCAAGTTCGAAGTCAATATTATCAATTCCTTCTCTCCCTGATTCGTCTTCTATTAAAAAATGAAATAAGTCGTAGTACCATAATGTAGGAGTATGTACATCTTCTGGAGCGCTTCCAGTTTTTTTTTTCGAATTTCTAACCTTACACAATTCTCTTCTGAATGAAGTTCTCATTGAATTTATTTTCTTTTTTAAACATTCCAAATTTGCATTTGGATCAATTTTTTGATAAATGGGTAATAAATTTTCATATGCTTCGTCCTTTAGCACTCTATTTTTATATCCTTCACATTTAATGTCCCATAAACAAGGGAATTGCTTATAATTTTCAATTAAATTTTCATACAGTTCTTGTTTCCTTTCCATTACACTCCTAAAATTCATAAACTCGTTTAGTTATCAAAAATTAAATAAGGAACAAATACTTACGTATTTCCAAAAATTGATGACACCAAATATGTATTTTAAATTGACCCAAGTCGCCAAAAAATAATTCAATTTAATTTTTTTTTCACTTTTTTTCAATGTGATTTATTAAAAGGTAACAGAATCTTATATGAACAAAAAAACAAATAAAGTGTCAGTTTTTAATTCTCATATCAGCTGTTAAATGTCAAACTTTCAAATTATTTGAAAGAGCATTTACACGTTCAAATACTTTCAAATTATTTGTAAGTTTTCCAACATAGTCGTACAGCCGCAAATAATTTGATGACATTGAATTTTGACGTACAGCAGCCTTTCAGACGGTCAAATATTTTCAAATTATTTGACGTCAAATTATTTGATCAAATTATTTGAACGTGTAAAAGGCGCTTAACGTAGTGGTTCATAATTTCTTCAAAAGTGTTCTTGAATTGAAAATTCTTGCTTGCTAGGCAATGTTTTATTTTCCTTCAATTTCTAGAGGCAATGTTTTATTTTCCTTCAATTGCTCCTTTTTTAAATCGTTTATTGTTTCCAAAAGTAGATAGGAGTCCTCCAACTATTCAAATAATAATCCTTTATAAGCAAGAATAAGCAACCAGGAACCTTCTTAATCAGGAATATACAAAAGTAATTTAATTCAACTTAGATGTATTAATCTTATAAATGAATTCTGAAAATCAAAAGTTGTCAGCTTAGTCAAATGTTATCAGCTCGTCGTTTTTTTTTCTTTTTAGGTAGTTCACCTAAAACGTTTTTAATAAATTAGAAGTTCTGCAGATCTTTTCTTAGAAAACACAAATAATTTCTCAAATAATTTTCTCAAATAAATAACTATATAGTGGAAGCCCATTAGCGTTGTATTGCCTTCTTAACTGATAAGTGTGGGGTGTTAAAAATTATAATTATTATAAAAATAATAATTATTATAAAAATAATAATTTTAAAAATAATCATAAAATAGCAACTTATTTAATAATTAGTTCTATTTTTTTTTGTACAATAGGTATATATTATTTATTGTATATAGGTGTATATTATTTTATATATTTTGTACAATAGGTAAAAATACCTAACTATATATATACCTATTTATGTACCTATTAAACATACCTAAAAATTATACCCAAACCTACATAAGATACTACATTACATACATTCGCGAATTATTCAGATATTTTTTAATATTTATTTTAATTTTTTAGTTTTTAAATATTAGAAATTTCTATCATGTAGAAAAACGAGAGTCGGGGGTGGTTCTGGTTTATTTATCCGTAGCAGTTTGCGGTACTCTGAGCAAGACATCTTTTGTGATGAATACAACAGTATTGTGAGGGTAAATATTAAGTTAAAAAAACGATATTTTACTATTTCGGCTATATACAGACCTCCTGAAAGCTCTGCAAACAGTGTTGAGATATTTTTTCAAAAACTAGACTCACATTTAGAACACCTAAAAACCCAAAATTCAATCGTTTTAGGAGATTTCAACTTTAACATTAATAATGAAATAGATAGAAATGTACAAAGACCAATAGATATAACTAGACCAATTTCTAATACTTGCCTTGACCAAATATTGGTAAATGATCCTAATACTGAAGTACATATTACCCTTTTTCATCATGATATTTCTGATCATCTTGGTATGATCGTGGAAAGTAAATTTTAGAAAACATAAATAATACTGAAAAAGATGAACAGCTGATTGAAAAAGTTAATTATGAATATGAGTTAAGTAAATATGTTGTCAAAGATATTCAAGTTAATAACATACGACACTCAAAAAAAAATATTACTACATTTGCTATAGTTTTGCATGCTCCTAGTGATAAAAACTGGTAGAAATCAGAATAGTGCGAAAAAATAGCATTTTCTGCCATATTTTATCGCACTCAATTATTAACATTAGTGGCTATTTTGGCAACATTGTGCCGAGCCCTACTTTTCCATGAGTCTCAGATGGTATTGGGACTCACAAACTGTACTCGAAAATCCTTAAATTTCAGACATCCAAACGAGAATAAACCTACAGCTCTATCAGCATTCTAATTGAGTCGCATACTACAAATATGCGAAAAAAAAGAAAAAAAAAAAACTTATTTCTTTCCTTATTTTTTTCTATTTTTTGCTATAATAATCATCCTAATTTTATTATTTTTTGATGACAAAAATTTTCAATTCTTGAATATTTTTTTAAGCCTGAACAAGCCGAGTTCCAAATTCAAACTCCTCTTCAAGAAAGAAAATTCCATAATTCAATACGTACAAATCAGAAAAAACACTCGAAAATTCTTAACGGTACAGCCGTTTGATGTATGAACCAAAAATCTGAAATTGTTTATTTAAATTTTAGGTTGAAGTGACGGGTAGAATTACAGTTTTATTTGGTTGGATAACCGAATATATAACTTGCACACGTAGATGTAAAATAAGTAAAAAATACTCAGTGATATTGCAAAAAAAATTAAAATTTAATTTACCTGATACTCTGTAGTGAAGCAGAGCATGAAGCATTGAAATAGAATGCACCACACTGCATATTCCTATGCCGACATAGTGACCATTCACCACTGTTACGAGTCTCAGTTGATATTAATTTTTTTAAAACTGAAAACGCCGAATTCTAAATTCAAGCTCCTCTTCAAGAAAGAAAATTCCATAATTAATACATACACTTATATTTATTTCCACTTTTTCCCTCGCTTTACCTGCTAGCTTAGATTTAATTTTATTTAAAAGTATTACTTGACCATTTTCTTCATATTTACTAACTATTGGGATTATATTTTCAACTAAACTTATAAAATTAAATAATTCGTGCGACTTACAACTAAACTCCCTAAATTGAGCAGCTGATGAGGATTGACCGGCTGATGTATTTGATTGTGCCATTGTGGTTTTCCTTTTTGTTTCACAGATATTTTTTCCACAGCAAATAAAAAGTACCTTATTGCTTTTTATTTATTATAGCAAAATTATTTACAGTTTGTGGTTATATTATAATATTTCAATGATTAAATTTTTTTTGTTAAAATTTTATTGTATTAATTTCAGTTTTTAATGTTCACAAGAAAGTTTTTTTTTTCTTTCTTTATTTTTTTACTTTTTAGTTATTATAATATTGGTAATATTAAATTATTCAAATTAATTTTTAATTTAAATTTAATTTAAATTTAATCGGAATATTATTGTTTTTTTTTTTTCAAATTAATTTTACAGATAGCACATAAAATTAATTTTTCCTTTTGAGTTCACTTTTATTCACTAGGTGTTTCAAATTTACTTTTTTTTCAGGCTTTTTATTTTTAAAATCCTACAAGAACTGCGTCACTTATACGTTCAAGGGCGACTTTAATCATAAAATTGAATTAAACATCTTTTTTGAGTTTTTAGTCGATCGATCGATCGCTTTATTGGTAACAAATGAACTGACTTTTATTAATTTTACAAAAATACGAAAAATGTTCTTAAAATTACAAAAATAATATTTAAAAAAAATACTTTTTTCTAATTTGGGACACATTACAAAATTATAATTAAATTTGCTTGTCTTATAATTTCTTACAATAATTTCTTTAAAAAAAAATCGATTTAAAATTCTCAATATGCAAGTCACATGCTTATTACAAAATTACCATTATACCATATTAACGTTATAATAATACGTTAAACGAAAATAAATAAATAATGCAACATAAGAAAAAAATGCAACATAAACATTTTTAAGTGGATCGTTCGTTCACACTATATTTTAAAAAAAAAACATAGGCCAGTTTAGTTAAGTTAAAATTGTAATTGATTTTATTTGTTTTGAAGTATGATCAGTACAAAAAAAATTTATGATAAAAAAGAATTTATGAAAATAAATGAGAAAAATTAAAAAATAAAAGTATCGTTTGTTTTGATTAGTTTATTGTATTGAAATAATATTTTAGTTGATTATTTCAAGAGGATAATCTTTCAGAACATTATCATCATTTGATGTTGATGATATAACTATACATATCAAAACAAATCTATCGAAAATTCGATGTATGATGTATAAACTAGTAATTTTGATTTAAAAATTCCAATACAAAAACCGAGTCTTTAGTACATACTACACCTCATTTGTGCCATGTAGTACTGCCTTATCGCCACTATAAGAACACCCATCTTGATTTCCTTCGGTGGCTCTAGACAATCGAAGGTTACTTGAAGCAGGCTTGAGTATACTTCTTTAATGCATCCATCAACTTCTATTTTTTTGTAACGGCAGATTTTAAGTATGTTATTTTTTTTTTGAGTCCTTGTAGTACTTGCTCAGACATATGGATTAAGTTTCTGCAGAAGAAAGTTCCTTTGCAGGTGTTTCAACTTCGTTGTAATCCGCCGTATTTAGGATGTCACCTAGTTTGTCAGACTTTATAAATTTTTCTCCCGCAATTTTGTTTGAATGAACAAAATGGTGGGAGACAAATTATAACCAGGAAAAAAATGCGAAAAAAAGACAAAAAAAAACTTATTTCTTTCCTTATTTTTTTCTATTTTTTGCTATAATAATCATCCTAATTTTATTATTTTTTGATGACAAAAATTTTCAATTCTTGAATATTTTTTTAAGCCTGAACAAGCCGAGTTCCAGATTCAAACTCCTCTTCAAGAAAGAAAATTCCATAATTCAATACATACAAGTCAGAAAAAACATTCGAAAATTTTTAACGGTACAATTGTAAGATGTATGAACCAAAAAATTCGATTTAAAAATTCCAATAGAAAAACCAACAACAATATATCAGATCACGTCAAGAAAATCAATTATATGATTCGATATATAACACACGATATTACATCATATTTCATACGACTTATTGGTCGGGACATTGGCCGTTAGCTACCCCAATGTGCATCTGACTATGTCCCGAAAGGTCAGTCTGAGGTGGGTTTATTAGAAGTAG